TTTTTTTTTTAATTCGAGGCACTACCATTGCGCCACAGGGCCGCACAATATTAATATAATCGCTACTGACAAAGTGCAAAAGTAATTTTATATCACGCATCTATTTTTAAAAAACCTTTTTGAAACTAAAAATCTCTTAGCAAAGGCGTAGCCATGTTGTAATTTTTTTTTTTTTTCCATAAGGGTACCTTGGAGTTGTAAAAGGGGCCTTTTGTGGAAGGCTCACCTCTTCACCTTACGAAAAATTATGACGCACCACTTCATAAAGAGGGCGCCCCCATTCGCGTCTCTCCCTGCCATACTATTGACCGTGGGTAATCCATAGGGTTTAATATGCCACAGATGGTTGATTCTGATATCGATACTGTTGTAAAAGGAACGTGGTAATTTAAAAAAAAAAAAAAAAAAAAAAAAACTATAAGGGGGCCCCCTTTTTTTTTTTACTTTTTCTCTTTTCTCTTTTTTTTTTTTTTTTTTTTGTTCCTCTTTTTTTGTTTTTTTTTTTTTTTTTTTTTTTTTTCTCTTCTTCTCTTTTTTTTTTTTTTTTTTTTTTTTTTTTTTTTTGTTGAAACTGACAAAATTAAGCACGCCTCATTCTATGTACCCAAAGCTTTTAAAGTCAACGAAAGAAATGTGCAGATTTTTTTTTTTAATTCGAGGCACTACCATTGCGCCACAGGGCCGCACAATATTAATATAATCGCTACTGACAAAGTGCAAAAGTAATTTTATATCACGCTTCTATTTTTAAAAAACCTTTTTGAAACTAAAAATCTCTAAGCAAAGGCGTAGCCATGTTGTAATTTTTTTTTTTTTCCATAAGGGTACCTTGGAGTTGTAAAAGGGGCCTTTTGTGGAAGGCTCACCTCTTCACCTTACGAAAAATTATGACGCACTAAAAAGAAACGTGGAATTTAAAAAAAAAAAAAAAAAAAAAAAAAACTATAAAGGTGCGCAACTCTTTTTATGACATTTTCACTGTACACTCTTTACACTTCATATCAGAGTACACATATAATGTGTTCAATCTTGTTTACAACCAATGTCGTCCCCTAGTGCCTGCAGTAAACTCTCTTACCTAATATGTTCGACCACATTCCTTCTGCTGTCCTCTTGTATACTACATTGCAGCAAAGTGTTTATTTTATTTTTTGTATTGTTTTTACTGTTGTTTGTTCGCTGAAGAAGGCTTCTTGCCGATACGTTCGTTGTTTTGTTGAGTCTTTGTGTTTGTATGTGTGCTCGGGCTTCCCTTTCCTATACCTTTTTTCGAATATTTCCTTACACATATAATGTACGCTCAAATACTTTCCCTTTTTCCGCTGGTGACTAAAATATAGTTTCTCTATGGTTCTCAAAACATAGCAGTGACGACAAAATAAGCAAAATTTAAAAAAAAAATAGCTTTCATAAAATGGAAGAAAATTGTTCGTTCACATCCTGATGATGTCGTGGAATTTTTTGCCCCTATTACATCTCGATTCTTTCCTCTATCATCACTCTTCACCTCCCAACTCTATACACCCCTTAATGCGAGGCGTCTTGCATTTCTTACCACTGTGTCAAGTGTAGTCGCCTCAATTGTTACTTTTTGGAAGCTTGTTAGACTCCCTTATTGTCTTTGGCAGGAATGAGGAGCTCCTGTACTGAGTTCTCGTTTGAGATAATGAAAAATGATACAGCGCGCTGCTCGGTTGTCTGAGTCAGTTACACACCTATGTCTTACTATTAAAACTACTGTACGTATGGACTGTAGACCTATGTATTCGAGCATCCCCAGAGGCTCTGATGATGTTAAAAACTATATTTAGAGGGCCGTGAACGGGTTTTCTATTCCCTAACTACGAACATACTCCATTTA